TATTTAGTAATTTCTACTTTTAAGTGGCGCCTCAAATAAATCACTATCTTAGTATGATTACTTCCTCTCCACTCGTTTTCCCAAGTTATTTTTATATTTATTACGAATTAACAATTTTTGAAGACAATTCTAATTTACCTCAACATAAAACTGTAAATCATTTGATTATAGCTAGGGTTTAATATTTTCTATGAGCATCAGCCAATATCAAACTCAATAAATCAACAGTAAGAACAAGATATGCAACAAACAAAAATACTGTTTTCAGTTAAACTTTCATCAGCATTTACCCGGATACCCTAGTACGGTTGAGAGTGGGGAGAGTCAGCTCTCCCTCTCCAAAATACTTTCATATGGCCACGTGCATACGACCACTGACAGGGAAGTCATACTCACTGCCTTCTTGTGGCATAGATGTTCTTTACGAGATTGAGAGGACGAAAAGAGGATGTCCGGTGCTTTAACCTGGTTGGTGGATATGGAGGATACATCTATGGGAGTTGGAAAACCCTGATTCCAAACCAATGGTGCACATGGGCTCCGGGATCCTGCGGGAACAAATGGCATATGAACCAATTGTTGGTCACTGGCTACCATGGGACTTCATCTCCTTACGTTGCTCCACTTCCTTGTGGATTAGATCCTTAAGTCAAAGGCTCTGAGTATTCCCCGGCTAAGAAAACCATTTGTTTCAGTTTGGGCACCCAGGCAGTATTACAGCCCTCACATAAATTGAATGATTTATGCGGCGCATTTCTGTTTGGTGCCTCCTTGTACTAATTTTTATGTGTTTAAATAAATGAATAACATAAACTAAACAAAACGATTCATGGATTAATGATAACAATGACAAAGGATTACGTAACTAATCATAACAAGAAAAATATACAAAATGATAATAAGGCAGGTGTAGTTATGATTATAAGAATAATAACATGAATACATATTTCTACATAGCAACTGACATTAAGAATTTGAGAAAACAGAAATTACTAAAATAATGAATATTGAGAATTCTTCAATTAAGTAGTATTGATGTGTGTAAATAATCGGTTTAAATATGAAAGGAGTGAAGTGAGATAAACAATGGATAGAAAGGGCATATAAACATGTCTATTGAATTTTCTTTAGTCAAACAAACAACAGAGAAATTATAAACTTCTTCCAAATATATGAACTAGAGTTGTTAAGGTGATTCTCAATAAATTTCAATATATTTTGTGACCGTTTTCAAATTACATTGAGAGATTTCTCACTAGCTAGGTGAACAATTTGCTTAGTAACATATTGCCCAATGTCCTACTGAGTTTTCACATATTTCTTTTTGGTGTTAAAACCCTGCATAATATTGATTAATTTAGCTTCTGATAAGTACATTTCCTATTCTTTTAGAATAGATTATAAAAATCCATTAACATATATACAAACAGACAGACTACTACTACTATAGTGAAAGAAAAAAACAAGTGGGGACAATCGAATACATTACCATTGAGCTATACCACCCCTTTCATTGTTCTTGCATTTTTATATCAATTACTTTCTGTTCCCATTCCTTCCTACTCGACACTCTTCTATCAGACATTCTAATCCTGATTATTGTTATATACTACTACTCATTTCGACATAAGTAGCACATATCACACTACTACACCTAATTACGGTAAACGTAATTTACTTATCCATGAATAAAATAATGTAAACATTTATCAGTTAAAAAATTTTTTTTATAATCAAGTAAAATGTGGTTAAAAAATAAATAAATAAATAACTTGGGAAAATCTGGAAAAGCAATAAAAATGAGGGGGGAATGAAAAGAGTTATGTATGTCTGTCTGTCTGTCTACAATGTGACCTTGTGTGTGTGTGTGCATGTCGTGTCTACCTCTCAACTAATCAGCTGTTTGTACTGGCATCATATATATATATAAATCAAGGAATAGACATGCAATTGCGTGCTATTATCTAGTCTGTTGAACAATACATCACAAACGATAATGTTCACTTCATAAACTATTTTTTATATTAGATGATAAAAGTATAAGGTAAGAAAGCAATTAGTGAAAGAAAATGGATTGATTTTACATTTCTTTTGTTCTAAGATAAGATCTTCACAAAACACACATACATACATGGTACGGTGTTACTCCACCGTCGTCTACAATCTCCCCCCTCCCCCAAAATGTATCCAGGATAGAAAAAAATGGACAAATAACTTAAATAAATAAATAAATAATTGAATATTTCCATTGTAGTACAATTAGTAAACAATGATAATAATAGTAATTGAAGTACACATTAATATGAACAATTTATTGTATGCAATATATAGTACTTATTTAGATGGTGCACTATCTATATATGATTACATAGATAAGTGAAATCACTAAACATACACCTCTGTATAAACATACAAAAGAACACTTCTCCTTCCTCCTTCTACTGAATATAGATATTTAAGTAGCATTTTCATAGAATGATGCCTTTTGGCTAATAAATAAATTAATTTATTATATATAGATAATCATGATAATTATAGTATCCGAGATAAATATAATCAGATAACCATATGTTTATGTAGATAAATTAAGAAAAAAAGAAAAGAACTATTCATGAAATAAAGGGAAAGTCGGAAAAAAAACATACATAAGATAAATCAGACAGAGAGAGGGGTTTTTGTGGATATTATAGTAATTTTTAGTAGTTGAGATCATGAGTTAATTGAAGTACCGGACAGACGTTTTATTCTATTGTGGGACTTCTTAGAAGTGAGCATTCACGATCCTGTCTCGTGAGATTCGAACTCAGGACCTACTAGTCTCGTGCGTGAACGCTTAACCTCCAGAACATTGAACTTGACTGCATCTAACGGTGTTAATGTCTAATTTTAACCAATCCACGAAATTGCGCCGTGACTAGTAGAGTTCAACCGGGTTTGTTGTGAGATAGTAACTCACTGAAGACAGTGGTGAATATCTCGCTCAATTTCGTAGATGAGTTAAAGTTAGACATCAACATCGTTCAATGCCATCAAGTTCAGCGGTCTAAAGGTTAAGCGTTCGTGCGTGAGACCGATAGGTTCTAGGTTCGAATCTCGAAAGGCGGAATCATGGATGAGCACTGCTGTGGAGTCCTCATAATAGGGCGAAACGGCGGTTCAGTGCTTCCAGGTTTTCCACGGTGGTCTAGCTTCGGTTGACTCATGATCTCAATAAATTTATCCAAACTCATAATTTTTTTCTGTAACGTGAGTAGTGTTTTCCGCTTCTCCAAATTTCAACAAACTGTCAAATATGATCGAATATGGTGATTAGACCTGAGACTTTTAGAAAACATATGTTACCAATGAGAAAAATCTATTCAACCTCCTGTAACCTTATTTACAGTTGACTACACCAAAAGATTTTTCTCATTTTTATTTGATTTTGTAAATTCGTGTTTATGCTATTAGTTAATGATAATAAATTGGAACCACGTCTACATGTTGACTAATTGATCTGTATGACAGCCTACTATTAACAGCTTCTTAGAGTTAGAATTTCGAAATTTTTAATTGTTGACTATATGTTCTTAGCTATATACATTCACTGATATGAGTCAACGATATACTGTGTTAGAAGATGGTGGTTGTAGTTAGTCATCAGGAAAAACTGGACCCAGGTTTCGTGCTATTTAGCATCAGTTGATATACAGTTATACCTTGCTGACGAATGCTAAGTACCGCGAAGCCTAGATCCAGGGTTTCCTGTTAAATATCTTCAACCACTATCTTATCTCAACATAGGGGACTCAATGTCGAGTCAACTAGACTAGTGGCTACATTGCAACTTGGTCGATGGGATTCGATTCGCACTAAGAAGTACCTGATACACATGACATTGATCATTACCCAGAGATCAATCAATCGTATATACTGTGTTATTTAACTCCTAACCAATATTCATACATAATTAAGTAGAAGGAGTGTTCACACTATTCGATATTGTACTTTCCGTAACTAGTGCAAAATGTTCATACTTCATTGAAAATATCTTCAATTATACAGATTATGTTTATCTAGTAGATAACAATCAACTGAGAAGTATTCACATACTGATATAATTCAGACAAGATTAAAAGCAAGTCAGTTAGTTTTCAGCGACAGAATATGGTACAAATTCACTTGGTATTGTTTACTTGAATCTTCCCATTGATATTTAGGATTGCAATTGACCAGTCTCTTATTGACATATGTGCATACGATGTGTATTGTCTCGATATTGCCTTAATTCACAAGCATTATAAACAAAGATGGATAGAGGCTAGCAGTGGAATCCAGTTTGACGCGCGTTTCGTCCTATTTGGGACTCGTCAGCTGGACGTGCCTGCATCTAAGCGAACAGTACTGGGTTCGAGTTCCAGGGTGAACATCAACAAGTCCAGCTGACGAGTCCCAAATAGGACGAAACGCGCGTCCCGTATTCTAATGCCAGCCACTATCCATCTTTACTTAGAATATTGTACATATGTGTATCGATTCAGTCTATCACATCATATCAGGATAATGCAATTAAACTATTAAGATGAATACTGGATTAATAAAAGTTATAACAGTATCAGTGATAACAGAAAATATTAAGAATAGACAATATGATTCAAGGGAAAAGAATGACATTGATTAATAGAATGTATAAGATAATCTTACAACTCAATATCTAGGGGAAAGATAAAGAATACATGTATCTCCATTATCTCAACTGATTTTAACTCATATCACCCCACCCAATGACTCCATTCAGATAGTATGTCATTAATAGCCACCATCTTACAGTATCACTCAATTATGGATTATGACGATGTCATTGTCAGTAAACGCAACTGACAGGTCATTGACTAATTATGTGTTACTAGATGTTATGAGATAATTATGTACATGGTAACTGCTATACATTGTACATCATAAATATATACTTGAAGAAAATGAAAAATAAGCACACACACACATGCATATATTTCACTCACCTTATGTAATTGGTTAACAATATTGTTATCTACATTTGTTTGTTGTTTAGATACTGAAAATCCTGTTGTTGAAGGAGTTGGACGAGAGGATGTTGGAGGATATGATAAATTACTATTATCATTATTATTGGATTTCATTTGAACAGATCGATTTAAACCCATAATTGGATGTGATATAGAACATGATTTTAATCCTACTATTTCTGATATTGTTGATACTGTTGGTGTCGATACTGGTACAGATGATGAAACACTTTCAGTGACTATTGTCGATGTTTGTATTGTTGAATTAGGAAGTAATGATTTATTAGTTCCAGTCAATTCATTTAATTGATTAGCTAACATATCTCGTTCTTCAATGATACATGTTAATTGACTTGCATATGTGATAAAATTGTTTCATATTTTATACACTGAAAGAGAAACGAATAAAAAAAACGATAAAAAATATCAATGAATAAGTAGTATTTAGTATCACATTTGAATTCACGATTCAATCTAAGCTAGACCACCATTGAAAACATGGAAGCATTAGGTGGCCATTTCATCCTAGTCCAGGACTCCTCAGTAGTGCTCACCTAAGATCCCGAGCAAGGACGCTTGAACTCTAGACAAATAAGCTTAGATCGACTCGTGAATTCAACTCTGGAAATGCTATAATCTTCATGAATCACCATACCAAAAAATTGGATATGCTACGTAGATGACGCATTCATTATTCTGAAGAGAAACGAATTCGAAAATGATCATAAGTTGCCTAACAACATCTTTGACGACATCGAATTTATAAGGAATGAAAATTCAAAAAATAAAATATCTTTCTCATATGTCTTAATCAACAGAACGAATACAGGTAATTTTAGAAACACAAGTATACATAAAGCCAACCCATATTGACTAAATATTTGACTACAACAGTGACAATCGAACAGCACAGAAAAGTGAAAACCATTTTGAGCACCGTCGTTACACGAAGAATTAAGGAAACCTATCTATCTGTTGCCTATAAAAATGGCTACCACAAAAAATTCATCAAAAGGTGTCTGATTAATCTGTATACCATTAAAAAAAATCAACATCGAGAACCAAAAATACAGATCATTCCACCATATGTGTAAAATATCTTAGAAACTATTAGTAGGATTCTGAAACTTTTTTTGGATCAATGTCGCTTACAAACTAACGGGATAACTTTATTTCATATTATGAAGATTAAAAGCCAACAGCAAAAGTGGACAAATCCAATATCATCTACAAATAAATTATACTAACTACAAGAAATGTTACATTGGATAAGATGGACGCCCGTTTCATTTAAGTATATACAACCGAAAGTTTGAAGTCAAATGACACAATATTTTACCAATGATATCAACGCAGGTAGAAAACTGCAGACACGAATTCAATTGGGAAGAAGTAGGGCCATAGGATCGAGAACATTCTAAGAACATCATTCAGATCAATCCCTAGTCAATAGACACATCGATCTAGATCTATAAACCTATAAGAAAACGGTCAATCAATCACATGGTCAATGGTCAGTAAAATAGAAATATAAAGCAAAATAGAAAATAAGATCTATGAAAACCATCCGTTACAAACAAGGACATCGGAACAAACTCATCTAACATTTAAGGAATAACTAACTTCTATACAAAATAGATGTTAATCATGTTGTCCTGTGTGTTACTATGATAGTTTCACAACTGAACTAACCATCTAACTCAAGAGAATAAAATGTCATTAAAAGTATACAAAATCACATCCCTCACTCACAAAAACATATATTATTATTCCATATTACATAGTGATCGGTTTACAAATCAATAATTTTCTAAAAAACTGCTTTTGTAACTAAGGTAAAAAGAATTGAATATTTTTTTAAAAAAACATACTCATTAATTGGGGAATAAATTTTTTAAATATAGGAATATGAAAGGGGGGATAAGAGAATGTGATAGATATTAGGTGGGTTAGATATTAAATACTACCTAGGCAACCATAATTAATAAATTATCTCACTTAACTAATGTTAACATTGACTGATCAGTCTTTTTTTAAAGAAAAATTCTTTCCTTATCTCCACCTTATCTTGATTTAGTATAAAGATAATGAATAATGAAAGAAGTAAAGTAATAGGAAGTACACTTTAATTTTTACCGTTGCTATAAGCAACTGTATTCCGCATCGTCGAGACATTAAATTATTATTATTATGACTGAAAAGGAAACAGACACACACACACACACGTACATATACACATTAAAGAAAGTGCTTAAAGAATATAGTTTGGGTAAGTTTTTTTAAAATAAAAAAACAGACGAGTCATTTGGAATTTCTTATTTTTTTCTTACATCACTTGAGACATCGGTAAAATCAAAGGATAAGTAAACATTGTAAGAGTTAGCCCTTTATACATATATAAGTAGAGATGGATAATAGCTAGCAGTGGAATTCAGAATACACATCACTTTGTTCTATTTGTGACTCTTCAGCTGGATATACTTGTATTCGAAAGTTGATATACACCCCGGGACTCAAACTCAGTATCGCTAGCTTCAAATAATATCGCGTTCCCTATTTAGCAATTAAGAGCAGTGAAGTTTGATTCAGTTTTGTATTGGTTGTTTAAATCTTCCCATTGATGTTCAGGATAATAAATCAATTGCGTTTTGATAGATTTACTCACTGAGTTGATAATATTAAGATTGTATACTTGATTCCAAGTAATGTGAATGAGTTGCGATTGATGGATTTCTAAATCTGAACCGATTGAGGTGGTTACATTGTGCAGCACTTAGGCCAGATTTCTGTGAAATGTTCAGTTGCTATGTTGGAGATCAGTTACTCATTATATTTTATTTATTTTAACACATAGATATTGGTACAAGGAGGCACCAAACACATATGCGCCACACAAATCTCATTTGATATGTGTGAGGGCTGTGATACTGCTTGGGTGCCTAAACCGAAGCAGGTGGTTTTCTTAGGGGGCCACACACGGAGCCTTCTACATGAAGGTCTGATCCACAAGGCAGTGGAGCCATCGTAAGGAGATGCAGTTCCATGGTAGCCGGTAACCAACGATTGGTTCATACGCCATTTGTTCCCGCAGGATACTGGGGCCCATGTACACCATTGGTTTGGAATCAGGGTTTTCCAACTCCCCTATGTGGACTCTCCATGTCCACCAATTCGGTTAAAGCGCCTGACGGACATTCTCTTTTCGTACTCTCAGTTTCGTAAACAACACCTATGGTGCGAGAATGCAGTGAGTATGACTTCCCTGGCAGAGGCTATATACGCATGGCCATTTGAGAGCATTTGCAGAGAGAGAGAGAGCGGACTCTCCCCACTCTTGGCCATACCAGGGCATTTTGGGCGCTAAGTTGCTGTACCCCATTAGTACGATAAGATGAAAGTTGAACAAATTGAAATAATGTAAGAACAATGATAATGATAAAGACTAAACACTGAAAATATGGTTCGAGAAATTGAGAAGTGTATGAAGGAATACTACAGCTCAAGATCCAGGGAAAGATGAACAGTGAATTCATCTGCACCATTGACTGATTATTAATCAGATTAATCAGCATCTCTAACTGTTACTGTACCCATTTATCTACCAATGTAGCTCGCGTCTACCAATATTCAGATCAACAACCAATGACTCCAGAGACCAAGGTTAGGCTTTGCTTTGGAAACCCCCAACTTTCTTCGTATCATCTGGATCCTTGTATTGATGTTCACATTAAGATTGAAATCCAGTATCTTTAGCTTCAAAAATCAACGTTTTATTCAGTCTCATTTATAAACACATAATTACATATAAATATTTCTTTTCATGTTTACAAAATGAAATTGCCTAATATATGTAACGATTATAACATACAACTTGAAGTTTTCGTAGATCATTATTGAAAACATTCAGCCAAACATATACTATAGTGTAATATGAAGAGGAATTCTTGTAGTTTAATGACAATTTTTGTCACAGACTTTTATTGATCACATATAAAGATTTACATATAGCCACACACAGGAAATGATAATATTGTGCAGAGAAAGAAGACGGAAGAGTTTTACCATCAATAAAGATTTACCTTAGTTATAGGACACAACTTCAGTTTTATAAGTAATGTAATATCGTCATTAGCTTCTATGCTAAGCCTTGTCTGATAATGTTTCACGTTATTGAGTTGTACGATCTCTAGGATCCAAATGGAGAATAGTGAAGAAGCAACAGATCCCAATCCTATACAACTTCCATATCACCGTTTCATAATATGTCATAATATAGTGTTGTCACTGGATTTCAATAATGCTTCAGAGGCAACGATCGTCGAATACAGAGGGTCACTAAACATAAAGCAAACATTTTGTCTGTTCAATCAGTCACAATGAATGTAAGGCCTAGAACAAATGTGTTTGAACTACATTGTTATACTACGTTAATAAAGTGAGGTAAATTTAACAAGATAGATAGCGAAAAATTGATGTAATGGTAGTCAGTGATGGTCAAGTGAACTAAACATAGAAAATGTGACTCAAAAAAAAGTCAAATTAAATAGTAAAAGAAATTTAATATGGTATTCAAAATAGAATTTAGGGAAGATTCTAAATAGCTACATTTGCGCTACTCCGAATGATCTACAGTTTCTAAAAGTTAATCATGTGGAGTATAATCAGATAACTGTAATAATATATCAATACAGTACCGACTAATAGTTGATGGGCTACATAGACTGATGTCATATCTTGGCTTGAATACTGACAATATTCTTCTGACCTAATACCATACAAACTAGGACTATTCAATGAAGTATACGGTGATTTGACCAGCGGAATATATATCTCAGTCATCGAATATCTAATAAAATCATCAATCGATTCACCACTTTCATCTTATCATAACTAAGTTCAAACATCGAGTATTATTTATTCATGCAACTTGAATTATTTTAGTCAATAGTAAAATCATCACAAGATACAAAGAACCAACAAGACGTTTATAATGTAAAATGGTTACAGACATATTTATCTCTACATTACCTTTTATCTATACATGTTAACTCTTATTCCGAATTTACCTACATTTGTAATATAAAGAGTTATACGTTTATGTGTGTGTGTGTGGCTAAAAGGCAGACACATATATATAGAGAGAGGGAGCAAGAAGTCTTGATTGTTACTGTTTTAAAATTAGGACATCAAACCTACCACAGTGTGGCGAATATATATATATATATATATATATAAAGAGAAGTTTCTTGTGGATATTATGGTAATTTTAGTAGTTGAGATCATGAGTCAATTGAAGCTAGATCACCATGGAAAAACTGGAAGCGCTGAACGGCCGTTTCGTCCTATTATGGGGACTCCTCAGCAGTGAACATCCACGATCAACTGTGTCGGTTGTGAGATAGTAACTCACTGAAGACAATGGTGGATGTTTCGCTCAATTTCGTAGATTAGTTGAAGTTAGACATGAACACCGTTGGATGCCATCAAGTTCAGCGGTCTAGAGGTTAAGCGTTCGCGCGTGAGACCGATAAATCCTGGGTTGGAATCTCGCGAGTCGAGAGCGTGGATGCGCACTGTTGAGAAGTCCCACAGTGGGACGAAATGGACGTCCAGTGCTTCCGCTTTTTCCATGGTGGTCTAGTTCCAAATGAATCATGATCTCAACTATCACTATATATATATGCCTACAATTCATGTATAAATGATATCAATCATTTATTTGAAACATGCCAACATAAACGTACATGATCTCCATTTCAAAGATAATTACCATTGCGGAGTGGTATCAACACTGGAAAACTATTTCCACTCTACTTTATAATTTAACGGACATACATAAAGGACCGGATTCAAGACCTGAGAAAGCATTCAGTCAAGAACCAAGGTTCAATCAATTCGTAGAGAACTAAGCAAAGATAACAAAACGTCACTTCCGGGATTTCTTCCAAATTCTCCTACACCAACTAATATCAAAAGACAAGGCAAATAGCAGTTGGGCTCATGCAATAAATGTCCGAACTATCTCAGTTAATAAAGAGTGTCCACCTAACAACTAGAACCAAATGAGGGTTATAAACCAGTATAAGGAATTATAATTATAATTTATAGTTAATGGTTAAATTTAAGAATTAGATTTGGGAGGGGGATTCATCACAAACTGACATCAACTAAAATGCCAAAATTCTATTTAGTCAAATAGACTAGTGGATTTCGCGCCAATATCCAAGCCCTGTTATCTTACACTTGATTAGTCCGTCCATAAATTATAATCTCGCTGACTCAATTTTCACTGTTTGTGTTAATTGTGATTATCTTCCTTTAACTTCCTTCCAGCTTACTCCTACACCAGTAGGTAGCGCACATCATGGTAGGTGATTATTAAGCATGCATAATACACGCACTAGGCAGCGTAGTCTAAAGACGTTACACAATATAATTCCCTGTTCTGGTATTTCCACCTTAGGATCTTATATTCAATATCAAACTTACTAATTCGATTATTATTATTATTATTATTATTACTCAGAGTATTAGGTAAAGATGACGGTTAAGTCGATGAGATTGTGAACCTTTATCGACCAAGGTGATATAGGTATGCGATATGTATGCCAAACGACCATCTTCCTCGGTGTGATGTTTACTAGTTTGGGAATAGATTATAAGACTTTTAAACTGAAATGCTTCACTACGTATAAACAACGTGATCGAGGTAATCTTGATTGTCTTAGCCAAACGTTTGGAGATGTTGGATGACATAGTTCAGAATTGGTCACTTTCTGTCTTCCCATAAACTATTCTGTATTGTTTATTCTGCGAATTTATTCTCATATTGTCTATGCCTAATCGTTTATACCTCTAATACTGTTATCACAATTGATTGATCAGTGGGTGGTGATCGATGTCATGTGTGTCGAGTCCTTTTTAGTGCAGATCGAATGCTATCGACCAAGTCGTAATGTGGCCACTAGTCTAGGTGACTCGACATTGCGTACACTATGTTGCGATAAGATGGTGGTTGGAAGTAGTCAACAGGAAATCCTGGACGGGATCGAGTCCGTCAAGGAGCATCAGTTCCCTCAAGATTACAGGTATACCCTGCTGCCGAGTGCCAAATAGCACGAAACTCAGGTCCAGGGTTTCCCGTTAACTACTTCCAACCATCATCATATCTCAACTGCTATCACCTTTATTACTACAGTATTTGCCCTGATCATCTCATGTTACTGTCTTGATATAGTATGGCAAATTGAAACGGTGCACATATATGTCAGGTAGTTTTCTTACAAATTCATATTCGTAAAAATGTTAAAAAAAGAAACAAACAGACCAGTCTTGTCTTCAACTTATTAGTGTTGATAACTGATGGGTTGGATAACTTGTGAAACATTACTTATTCATTTTATTACAAACTATCAACATTTAATATATAATACAAGTTCATAATAAATATTAGTATGAAGGGATTATGAAGATTGGTTTATATTACTATCTGATCTTAGAAAATCAAAACTACTGAGCAGCTGATTCAACCCAATATGGGACTCCTCAGAATTGTATATTCACAACCAAACCGAGGGTCGAACTCAAGACCGTAGCTCCTGTCGTTAGTACTTAGCCTTAAACACATGAAACATTGAAGTTAAATTAACTGATTCTATGCTTAACCAGTCACAGTGAGACCTGAAGATTCTAAATTTAATCAGAAATGGGCTAGTGGATGAACACTGGGAAAGAAGTTTCAAACTAAGCTGAAACAATTGTCAAGCTTTTCTTTGTTTTCAATGATTGTTTAACTAAGGTTAGTACATGATATGAATAGTAGTTAATATCTTTTTTTTAAAAAGTCAAGAAACTTACAAGATCATGGTTATAATTTTTAGATACTCCCTCCGTATTCACATTATTATTATTGTTGTTACTAACTAGACAAGTTAGTTCATGATTGTGATTCAATTGATCATAGGTAAGATTTGCTGTTTGCATTAAAAATTTATGTGAAGTTGGTTGTGACTGTTGATAATGTCTTACAATTCCAACAGATTTATTTAATCTATCATTGGTAGTATCATTTGATGGACTAACAACATCTTCAACATTATCATCATCATCATCATCACCATCCATTATAACATCAACTGATGTATCACTATTTCCACTAATCTCTTTATCCAATTCATATTGATTCGTTGAATAATCATTGATATTATTAGTATTGAATGTATTTAATAATGATAATTTTGATTTTCTTGATTTTCTATCTGATTTATAATTAATCAATACATTATTATCATTTACTTCATCATTATCATTATCATCATCATCGCCATCGTTTTCTTCAAACTCTTCTACTTCATGTATAATATTTGATTCTGAATGTTCTAAACGACGTCGTAATTCTGCAATAACACTATGTAATTCAGTTAAACGATCTTCATAACGTGATACTTGATTAGTTAATTCATTGCGTAATTGTTCTTTTTCACGTTGTAAACGTTGTACTTCACGATAATTCATATCTCGACTTGTCTATAGTTAATTAGTGAACAAAAGTATATATGTATAAAGTCAAACTTGATTGAAATTATTAATAATCAGGTGGAATAAGAAATGGTTATTATGTATTCACCATAATGTAAAGTCCCCGGTTGCCCCCAAATGCCCTGGTACGGTCGAGAGTGAGGAGAGTCAGCTCTCCCTATCCAAATGCTCTCACATAGCCACGTGCATAAAATTACTGACAGGGAAGTCACGGGTGTTGTTTACCGAGTTGAGAGGAAGAAATGCGAATGTCCGTCAGGCGCTTTAACCGAATTAGTGGACACGGAGAGTCCACCTAGGGGAGTTGGAAAACCCTGATTCCGAACATGGTGAACATGGGTTCAAGGATCCTAAGGAACCAAATGACGTATGAGTGAAATGTTGGTCACCGACTACCATGGTACTGCATCTCCTAACACTGCTCCACTGCCTTGTGGATTAGACATTTGGGTCAAAGTCTCCGTCTGTGGCCCCCTAAGAAAACCATCTGTTTCGGCTTGGGCACCCAAGCAGTATTACAGCCCTCACATAAATTGAATAATTCATGTGGCGCGTAACTGTTTGGTGCATTCTTGTACCAATGTTTGTGCGTTTAAATCTATAAATAATAAATAGTCTCAGTAATTTATAGTTGATAACTGAGTCATGAAGAAAACTGATGAAATAGGGTAGTTGTTTGAAATTCGAAGCAATAGCTCATTAATTAAAGTATTTAACTGTTGATTTTGAGAGCATTTGGTACGGTTCAGGGATACTTCAAATGTATGCGGAATTATGAACTGGATTATTAAATGAAAAAAATATTGAACATTCATATTATTTGGTACTTTGATATAGAAGGCTATTTTGTTTAGTACATATCTCTCCACATCTAACTGGATCGATGAAAGCATAACAGATCTTTTTCCCGAAATATGCGTTTTTCCTGGTTACTGGTTTATTATGCTCATTATCGCCTAAGATCATTGACAATATTCATAAATGACATGATCTATAAATATTTAAATAATTTAGGGTCGTTCACAATAGAATGGAATGGTTATGTATTTTGGAAAACTCTGAGTGTATTAAAATGTTAAAAAAAATAAATTAGTTGAGGTTAATAATGACACATTGATCGTTCTTCTTGTATATCATGGACGGATTTCCATATCCTGAAAAATTTATCAAGCCACTGATAACCACAGAGTACCATAAAGGATGGTGTGGAAGCAAGTTAGAGATATGTCCAAGAGAAATAAGATGGTATGATATTAGTTGGTAGTAAAGTCAGGTTTTTAAATGTCTGAATCTTCTGAACACCTGTTAGCGTACTCTTGTGCGGACATCCGTTTCTAACAAAACTTCTGCCTACAATGTTTCTATCAACCAATCATCATTTACTCGAGAGCTGTTAACGATATGTGAAGAGTTGACGTTCACCCTCTGATAACATACTAGAAGGAAACTTCCTATTGAGGAACGTTAGTTATGAATAAGATCAATATTGATGGTCATTACAATTTTGGAATGTAGCTGTTATTAATTGTGTTAAGTCTTTAGCTTCAGATCTGTGGATAAATTTGGAATGTGGTATTTTTAGTGCCACCACTCGTTGACTACTCTTTCTGTCTGTGAAAAGCTACAATGCCTGAAAATGCTGGTTAACCTCCGGGAACATCTCACGACCACTACACTTTAGTACAGATGGTGGCATAACTAATTTCTCATGAGCATAACTCTGTGACATTGTAAGTCTTAACCGAATGTGTGTTCTTTTAAAAAAAATGATAATTCACTCTGTGATTTTGGGTAGCCTACTTTTATGAGGGTTAAATAGGCTACATGAAGTTGACAAATAAGCTATGTATAAACCGGATGGTTTATGCCAAATATACATTCATCGGACTTCTGTTAAAGAACAGGTAACTTATAGGTACTGATACATTTACAAGACGTTTCTGTCCCAATGCTATTTATCATAAAAAATAGGATCAAGAATATGTTAGAAAGAAACAGGGTCAATAAAGAATGAACTTTTAGAAGTCAGAAAAAAGCACTCATTACAAATTACCTGTAATCCTTGTAGTCTGTGAGATAGATCACGAATTTCGGAACGTAATTGAGCCGTCCGTTGTACATGTAGAGTATTCGCACATTCAAATAAATGTCGAACATTATCTAAAAAGTGATTTGACTCAACTTCTTTTGATTTTATACCAAGTGATTCTGCTTCTATGTGCCTTGGCAAATTACTTAATTTATCTACACACTGAATATTTATTGCATTAGTCAGTTTTTGATTCTGTAAGTCTTTTGTAGAATTATCCATATTACTGACAGATAATAAATTGAATTCATTTGTCATTGTATCATTTTCAAAATTATTTCTCATTGAATTCAAAGGTAATGGAAATATAATTTTATATAAGTCAGGGAAATCACGTTGCATTAACAAGTGTAAACTTTGCGGTTCACCACAAAGATCTTGAGCTCCAGAATCATATTCTGCGCCTAAGTAAATCGACGAAAATGATAAAAAATTTTGAAAAGTAAATAAAAGTACAACTCTGTCAAATATGTTACAGTTGAAGTGAAAGGTGATAATTAATTCCACTCCAAGCGAATTCTAATCAAATGAATATTATTAACGATGATGAAGTACTAAAGGTTACAAAGTATTTATGGAGATGTAGGAAGATTGCGTTATTGACAATATTAATTTAGGCGCTGGTACAGAAGTGTGGATGGCTAAAACCTGTCGACTGTTGGAATAATCCAAGGTAAATTACTTCTGAGGAGACCAAACTAGTAACAGAGTTAGTAGTGACGGTTTACTCAACCTTATTGGACAGTTGCGGGGCGAAGCAGCAACTGTCTGAGATCGGTTGTACATAACAGTTACTTTCATTCCCAGGTCCGCACATTCCTATAGGGAAATACGAGACGTGCTATTTCGATGTCTTGCCTTTTCTGAATAATGTCTAATAGATAGCACAACTGCCAACAATACTGGATGTCCAAGGAAAATATTTTACTGTTGCCACACAACCTAATATACTCGGCAGTCCTACTTCGCTTTTTAACCTTATATTTAGTGTAACCACTATCCAAATGACCTGGATGACGTGGTTAAACCTAAAAGGGAGATCGTTCCACTTTACATAAACACACTAGGTCACCTGGATATAAAATCACGACCAAAACGGTCAAGAAAAACAGAAAAAGAATTGATCAAATCGTATAACACAAGATTTTGACGCGAAACTATCTAGATAAAAGTATTTGAAAACATGCTTATTTTTCGCTGAATCTAACTCATCTAATGAACAGATATTTACACAGGGGGTAATAAAGCCCAAATGATTGATAAAACTTATTAGTCTCCTTTAAGTTTGTGTTTTAACCGCTCAGAAATATCTACCATGCTTCGAAAATAAGGATTTATCTATATATGAGAAAAATATCTTGAATGTAGATTTCAGAACTAAGTTTTTTTACATATTTCCGGAATAAATTACAATCACATCCGCACATGTTTTCAGAAAATAGGAAACATTAAAGTTCTTCTGTGAATGTAAACCACGATAAGAAAGTTGATATGATACTAAGCAAAATAATATATATTTGAATGCCATAATACCATCAGTGTTTACCATAAAACAGAAGCTTAAATTTGTTGACATAGATTTATTAATGCCAATGAGTTCCCTTCTATAGAACTCTGTTTCATGCATTATTTTCATCAGTTTATTCAACTTATGCTTGACTGCAATGAGTCAACAGAATGAGGCTCCATTACCCAACATACCGATATTTATTAAACTACCAATGATATTTAAAACGATTAATAACACAATAAAAGGTAGAAACTCCGGATTATACTGTCTTGTACAAAGCAATTGCTAAGTTTATGTTTGTTTACTTAACCATGCACTGGCTGGACAAATTCTCCGGAAAAATGCCCGGCAAAATATTTTAAAACTGTTGGTTAGACTTGAATTCGCTTTACAGTGGATTGCTTTAAAAAGCAATATGTTCAATGACGTAACATTTTAAGTCTTAAAAGCCTATACAGACGGTCTTGGGTCACCAAAACAGGGTGTAATCGGTAAACGCAGTTAAAATAGTACTTGAGGTTAGCTTTAGAGTTTACTAATATCAACTGGTTGACATCATATCTTGTTACAACCAGCTACATTGATTTAATATGAATACAGTATCATGCATCAAAAGAAATTGTGAGCACTGAGCTTAAATATTGCTTCAAACCAGGGTTCTTTTTGTCAGTAAAGCACAGAATTATTGCTACCTAGCAGCAAATACTTTAATCACTCTCTACCATTAATTGCGAGTTACTTCTCTCTAATGAGTAAGGCATTCGTAACATGACATTTAAAGCTCTAAATAGGATGACTGTGCTACAGATAGTAATAGAAGTTACATGACGCCTTTTTACTACACGGAAAACTGGGTTCACTTGCGACCAAAATGAAGTCGATTACAATTTATCCCGATTCTCCCGAGATAACGAAAATCCTGACACTTAAACTCACTCATTCTTAACAACAGTGTATTAGAATAAATTCCGTTTAGAGTGACCAAAATATGGGTATTTTTACAAAATCTAACCTGAGTTAACAAGGCTGGTTTCGCTGGCAGAACTCTCGAGATTGACATTTTCGTTCATTTTGCGAACAGAGTTTTCATTCACTTCTTGTCCATCATTTTTAACCCCTATGTGCAATTTACCAGTTGTGTAAACAGGCCAACTAAATCCAGGTTGCTTATAATTTAGATGATGTGGTAAACCAGATCTTGAGCAATATATATTATCCGCTTCAGTTTGCATTTGAAAAACTTTTTCTCGACAGCTAAGGAACTCATCAAATGTAATGCACCCTTTAGTGTTAGCGCCAAGTGTGTTTATAATTTCCTCGGCACATTCTGCCATGTTTAGTTTCTTACACATATTGTATAAGTCTTCACAATCTAAGCACCCATCATTATTTGAATCACAGCTTAGAAACAATTGTCTCAGTCTTTCTTCTTCTCCTGTACTGCTACTATCGCTGCCACTAGATTTTATAACTCTTTGAATACGGAATAAATACTAACCTGCTTTTCTGATCAATACATTGTATGTCAGACATATCACGAAAATTGGAAGCCATTCAAACCCAGCGCTAGCAGCATTTGCGGTCGATAACTGGGCATGAAAATGAACTCTCAAGGCTATGGTGGTTATGACGCATTTAAACAATTATGTGTGCTAAGTTGTTTGTATTTAAATTTGAATGTTTCGCAACTATTTGAGCATGTGTATCATGTTTAAGTGAAAGCAGTCAGATTCGCCGTGAATTTCAGCACTCAATGAATGTAAGATGTATTCTTCAGTATTCAGTCTTCAGTAATAAGGATAGGAGGTCTATCGACCTACATTAATCCTTGCAGTTTGTAATACTGTGGAGGTCCAACCTCGTTTTGAATATATTAACAGACGGTGTTGATATTACATGTTCTGGTAGACAATTCTAGTAATTCACTGCTCCGTGCGAGAAACGAAACTCCAGACGTAAACGGTTTGATCTCGGTTTTCGAACTTTCTTCGAATGTCCTCTCAAATGATCGGTTCTAGACGGAAGCAAAAGATAAGACATGTTAATACCAAGGTCATCGTTCAGTATACGATAAGCCAATATTAGATCACTTCGTACTCTATGGTAAGATAACGGAAATGAGTTAAGGTGTCTCAGTCTGTCTTCATAAGATAGGCCAGATAGAACTTGTACCATCTTAGTAGCTCGTCGTTGGACTCTTTCTAGCATATCTGCTTCATACTTGAAACAAGGATATGCTGCTTGAATCCCGTATTCTAAATGTGGTCGCACATAAATCGGGTATAGTAATCTGAACATCTCATCATCTAAATACTGGAAAGACCTACGAATTGACCATAATACCCTATAGCCTTTTGCAGCAGCAGCCTTACAGTGACTAGTGGTTTTGAGATCATTGCTTAATATGATTCTCAAATCTTTATAGTTTCTTGCTTTGGGTAGCACGAATCCACGTAGTGTATAGTGATACAGTTTATCATAGTTATTTATTTGCATCAGTACACTTTTATTAGGACTTACTTCTAGTGATCACCTGTCCAACGATCCCAAAATGAGCTAAGATCGTTCTGTAATACTATTCTATCCGAAATACTGTGTATGGGTCTCCGAATCTTTATGTCATCAGCGAAGAGCAGAACGGATGATTTTGCTATAGTTGGCAATTCATTTACATAAAGTAAAAAGAGAAGAAGACCTAGGATTGTGCCTTAGGGAACTCCACTTTTTACAGGTACCCACGAAGAAAGAGCCCCATTAACCCTCCCACTTTGTCTCCTGTCATGGAGAAAGTTACTTATCCAATCGACGACTGTATACTGGATTCCATAACGTTCCAGTTTGAATTCAAAACCAGAGTGGGAGACTTTATCGAAGGCTTTACTTAGATCTATGAAGACCACATCCACAGGAATATTCCGATCTTTTGCAGCAGCTCAATCTTCTCTTGCGATGAGATTTGTCAAGCATGGTAGGCCTCTCCAAAAACCATGTTGTTCCCTGGAGAAAAGATTATGCCCTTCAACATAGTTTATAACAGATATCCGAATGATTTTCTCCTTCAGTTTTACAACTGCACTAGTTAAGCTAACGGGTCTATAGTTTCTAACTAAATCCCTCCTCCCAGCCTTATACACCGGACTTATTATAGCGCCTTTCCAGTCTCTTGGCAGTCTGGACTGTCTCAGAGACATGTCGAATAGTATCACTAATGGTTCAGCAATTTCATCTGATATGGCTTTCATAATCCTAGCATGAATATCATCAGGACCACTGAACTTATCAGGTTTGAGATGCTGAAGTAGCTTTAAAACAGTACCTTTCTCAATGACTACAGGGTCCATCAGCGAGCCGTCACGATCGCGATGAATCGTTGGTCGTTCCTCATAACCGATAGAAAACACTTTACCAAAATATTACGATAACGCTTCAGCTTTTTCGGCATCATTCTCTGCTAAGATTAACGGGTTATCTCGTATCAAAAGTGATGTAGTTCCATCGCTTCTCTTAGTTCGCCTTTTTATATACGTGAATAACCGTATTGTACTACCACAAGTCATGGTTAAGAGATTTTAATTATTTATGTAAACTTTCAGGCTGTCGAATAGAAAGCCAATGTTAGTGACTGAAATAAGCTATCATTTGATGTCTCTCAACGTAACTGCTTTTAGGGATAATTTCCTGAGGCATCTACGGACGAGTTTCAAACGGGGAGCTGACATGATTTACATTTATCAAACTTTTGCTGTGTTCTTACGCAACAAAAGTACCATTTCTGATATAAAGAAGCTGTTCTGAGCCATGCGCTTTGTAGATTACTTTTTTTTCAAGTTTCACCCAATTTAGCAGTTAACTGTGGTTTTGCCCCAGCTTACTATTCGTTTTTTTCAGTTTTCCATTTTAAAGGCTACCTCAATTTACCTCATCCGATTTATCCATATTGTCCGTTTTGGTGTGCTTTTTAGTGTATTTTTAACGGTCTTAGGCTTTTGCTGGCATCTATAATACAATTTACGTCAATATAGTCATGAAAAGTTCATGCAAACGACCTGGATACAGTTTTGCTGTTACATCTGGTATGCAGTGCGATAACTGCAAAGGTTGGTTCCATGACGTATGCACAGATCTCACAGCAACTGCTTACAAAAGATTCAGGAAGTCAGATCATAAGTGGGCATGTGTTACGTGCAACACGGATGCTGTAGTTTTGCTGAGTCTGCGGAATAAGTTGTCAGCAAACTTGAAAAAAGGTAGTTATAAAACGGGTATACAAACAAGGTCGCCCAACGAAAAAAAGAAGAGGGATGTCGACAGGTCTACTATCGACGAAACATGCATTAGCATTAGTGATGACATGCTGAGACTCAGCACCATCAAAACATCGACGGTAATTGATCCCCTCAGCAAACTCGGGTCTCCCAGCTCGGGACCCATGAATGTAACGGTGTATCCCAAAAACTCTGTAGGTGATTGGATCCACGTTTACAGAGCTAAAAGGACCAGGAGTCACCGTCTAAGCTGATCATCCCAAATGTACGGAAAGGAACTGATGATTTGATCACACAGTCTACCCCCAAAAATGTCCGTCCCGTCATCAAAGAGCCTAGGAATCGGAAACGCGCTTTGACCTACAAACAACAAGGTGCTGGACCTGAAAGCACCGTATAAACTGGGAAACAATAACGGTTTGTGATGACTCTCTCATTATCATGAACCTCTAAGACAACCCTGACATTCCTCTCAGCTTGCAGGACAAAAATGATGGGATGCTCTGGGGAAAATTAAACAAGAATAGAACCTTTGGCGGTCACATGGCTCACTTGAGGAACGCAATCTAAGCATCAAAATCACCCGACGCTACTTCATGTAACACATAAGAATGATACCGACGTAGAGGATGTCCTGCTATCTAGTCATTTACTGAAATCCGATGGGGACGCAGGGATACTGCCAGACATACCGTATCCTGAGCGCAATCTCATCTGGAACATCCCTGAAGAATCTCGCGAGTTACTCCGCGGAAGAAATATCACTGTGCAAGATGTACCGAAAAACACGGACCCTAGTCAAGCAAACTTGGATATTAAGGAATGGAAATACATCAAGCAGTCCTTGAGGCTCAAAAATATACTGACTCAACATGTGACGAGACTAGCCAAGATGGACGGTGATTCTAGACCCCGGCTAATGAAGATAACTTCCCATCCTCCCGTATGGCGACTGCAGCTCTGGAAGCATTTTGTGCCAACAGACGTCGGTTGCCAGCTGAAATCCACATGCAGTCGGATGGGCCATGTGAAGCTAGGACCAAGCACAAAGGAAACCTGGAGCTGACCATTCCACTTGTGGACTGTCTTGATGATGAACAAAAGGTGTAAAGGACAGGGCCTACCAACTCTGCAAACCTTATATAGGTGGGCTACTTGTCCATTCACGTGAGGCTCATACAAGCAAACAGGAAGAGGCTCACGCGTTTCAAATTGAAAGCATAAACTGCTTATACATGAACGCTGCGAGTCCACCAAATAAAATGGATGAGATATGTGAACTTAGCAATGCTAATAAGGCTCATCTGATAGGAATATCTGAAACTGGATAACTTCCCAGTTTACGGACCAGGAGCTAGCAATACCTGGGATGTCTTTGTTTCGTAACGACGGGAAAACAGGAATTAGGGGTGGAGTAGTCGTATACATACGATCCTGCCTGGGGGAAACCAAGTTCACAACCATGAGTTTAACAATCTTGATGAGTCCGTATGGCGCTCAGTAAGATTGTCTACCACTTCAATGTGCTTAGTCGGGGTCATCTATAAGAAGCCCACTGCTGACGTCAAGTATGACAGTCGTATGCTGGAAAGACCATCCCGCTCTACGCGTCTCGGATTCACTCATATGCTGGTTCTAGGGGACTTCAATCTAACTAGAGTCAATTTCGTGGAACATACGTATATTCGATGTGAAAACTCAACTGAAGCTCGGTTCTTCAACCTCATTGAGGATCTGAGATTATACGAAAATGTGAAGTCGGCAACTCGTTGGAGAAACAGTCAGATACCGTCAAGCTTAGACTGGGTATTTACAAACCAAGAATTTCTAGTTGACAGCCTTTCAATCCTGGCTCCCATGGGTAACAGCGATCACGCCATTATAGCCTTCAGTCTCCTTGAAGATTTTCTTCCCGAAAATGGATTCTGTCACCTATTGAATATCAATGTGTTTAATAATGATTTATACAAACAAGGTCCGTCATCCATCTAATTGACTGAAAAGCAAAATGTAACCTTTGAAACTTTTCACATCTATTTTATTTCATTTCTATTCATCTTAATAAATGAAGGCTGCTTGTGTTCGTATTTATAATGAAAATAATAATTATTATTATTATTATAACTATTCTTAAACATCTTAAGTCTATAACTAAAAACAAATTATCTCACTGTACGCCCATTGGGACTTTTTACTTCACACGCTCTATGTGCTACAAAGTAGTCAGTTCCTGAAACGGTCCTCAGCAGCTACAAGCAACCTCCGATCATCAAGAATCGCACTCTTGGCCTGTTAAGCCGCAAAAGGCACTGCTGGGGAGAATACAAACGAACTGACAACAACGGTGCGTACAGGCAATACAAACATATAAATGACATATGCACGAAGCCTATAAGAGATGATGGGCTTCAGTACCAGATGAAGATTATGGGTAAATTGTATCCAATCCGAAGAGCTTATTCCGTCATGCAGCCTCTCTTTGCAAAGCCAAAACTGGAGTTTCCTAACTGCTAGGTCCTAACGGCCTGAACAATAACGATGGCGACGCCGCCAACCTTCTGGCTGAACAATACTCCCGAGCATTTCAACAGAATCACATCAACTATACTGATGACAGCTTCATCTGCAACTGCACAGGACCTTCCGTAGTGAACCTGAGCGCTGATTTGGTGTTCCGAAAACTGCAGCACCCAAGAAAAGACACTTCTCCTGGCCCAGATATGGTTCATTCTGCTATATTGAGGGAAGCAGCCCCAATCCTGACAACACTGCTCAGTGTGATGTTCTCACACTCGCTAAGTCGAGGCAAACTTCCGAAAATTTAGAAGCTGGATCACATTGCACTAATTTTCAAAGGTGGTCGACGCAGCAAACCTTCACGTTACCGACCGAAGGCTTTTCTCTCTATGCCTTCAAAAATTATGGAGTCCCTGATATGCGATGGCATACACTACTATTTACCGCTCGTAAACTTCTCACCCCAACAGTATGGTTTCAGGAGGGGTTAGTCTTGTATACCCAACCTGCTAACTGCGGTGGACAGATGAAAAAGCATCCTTGATCGCAAGGTGAAGGTTGATATCATTTACCTTGATTTCTTAAAAGCTTTTCATAGGGTCAACCATATATGTCTTATCAATAAGCTCAAAACATTGGGTATCAGACGACTTTAATTGACTGGCTCCCTTCAGGGAGTTAACTTCAAATTATTTCAGGCTATGAAATGTCCTAGTGAGGCCCACCAGGGCTCAGTACTAGGGCCTCTTCCCTTCTTGATTTATATAAATGGTCTCCCACAACATGTATCGTCAGACTTATTACATTTTGCTGATAACGTGAAACTCTGGAGAGAGATACGCAACCAAGAGGGTATACAGGCACTTCAGGAGGATCGAACTCGACTTCAAAGTTGAGCAGACGATAACGGACTTACCTTTAACACTTCAAAGTGTAAAGCAGTTCATCTGTGACATGTCGCAGACTACAGTTATAACTTAAGAAACTCCTCTCTGGTAGTATCTCGAGTCGAGAAGGATTACGAAGTCCTAGTACCTCACAATTTGAAGTCTTACGCCAACTGCGACAGAAATGCCTTTTGAGCAAACCTTGCACCGGTAAATTTGAGGCGCATTTTTGGTTAGTTTGATGGGAAAGCTTTCCACATAATCTTCAACAGTTTTATTCGTCCCCATTTAGAGTACGGAGACATAATATTTCCCCCCTCACTCCAGAAGGATAAGGACACTCTGGAGCGTACCAACAGCGAGCCATGAAATCAGTTCGTAGACTTCAATTCAAACCTTATGAAGAGCGCCTCCAATCACTTAACCTTCACCCATTAGAGTATAGACGTCTTAGAGGTGACTTAATGGCTTACAGTATCATTAACACTTTTGGATATCTCCTTAAACACCTACTTAAGCTTAGTCCCAATACAAACCTAAGGAGTAACACACAGAAATTGAGGATAGAACATAGCAGAACAAACTGTAGGCACTACTTCTACTCCTTAAGAGCTATCAAATGCTGGAATTCGCTGCCAGCCGAGCTAGTCCAGGCGACATCTCAGGAGTCCTTTAAGAGGAGATTTGACCTGTTTTTGAGGAATAAGGATAATATCTTATTATGATTTACCAATTCCTTTTCTTTTTTCCTCTATTGTCGTTAATATACCTAGGTTCCTGCCTGGGGGTATTAGTGACCAACGGCTACTAGACATGGAAGCCCGTTAAGCGAAAGCTTCTTCTATTCCGTCCACAACCATTTGAACCATTTTAACTGTCACCATTTGTTATGAAAGATACAATCTCCTAATCATATGGTCGAGACCATGCAAGCAGAGAATCCAATAGTACCAAGAACGTGTCTCAGACTTTTACTAGAACTGCGACTTATAACCCCCTTTTTTGTTTAAATATGTGCAAGTAAGCCTTAACGTGTGCTAAAATGGGTTGCAAGGTAATTGTATTTCGGTAGACAGAATCAATCCAGCGATGTCTGTAGGTGCAACATTCTGTCCGCTCACGGCTTTTGGTGGTCTAGTGGGATGTAATTGGCCAATGATATTGATATTATTTTCCCATCTCAACTACTTCGACTTTTGTTTTTGTCTTTTAAATGGTTTCACTGTCAGGCGAGAAATCTTATTTCAAGTTAAATTGGACAACAACGCCAAAACAGGTCCATCTCATGACTTTATAAAAGCGACAATAACGGCTATCCAAAAATCTCATTTAAATATCCAGGCATTGTATCTATTTTACTACATGTAGGAGATCTACAAAATCTAAAAATTTTCAGTTTTTTGAATCTTCTTTACTCATACAGATTTTTATTCATTCCTTAAAATACTATCGGTATAGTTTCTTCAATCTGTTGAAATACACCTATGTGAAAATCGACTTAAAAAGAGAAATAAGTTCAAGTTATGATACCCAGGTTTTCTTACCACAAACGACTCAACGTCTTCGGCCGTGTACATTATTTCCATAAATACAAAAGTAGAAGAGCCACTAAACCTGCTTGACATAAATTTTAATAATAAGTTATTCTCAGATGTCTATGTTACACGAGGTATGGCAGTTCACTGGTAAGATCAATCTGCCGACCACCTTGGGTCTTAATCGAGAAGATGTACTAAAGGCACTTTGTATTTTGGGTTCAAAAAATGAACTCCACTGGATAAACTGTACTCTAAAATTGTGAGATGGACTGCCCAGTACATTGCTGCTACACTTACAAAGATATTCAATATGTAACTTGGCCAGGGTGAGTTACTCATGGACTAGAAGGATGCAACTGTCACTAGAATTCATACTACAGGATCAAGATAACCTGCGTTGAACCACAGACCTGTTGGCTCTACCAGTGTCGCAGTTGAAATACTAGTAAGAATAACCAGTAAAGCTGTAATGGCATTCGTAGAAACCAATGACTTGGTAAACATTGAACACCATTGGTGAGTAGTGGTCAGCCGTGCGATTAGGAACGGCACAAGAAAATGAGCAGAACTGCCGGATGATGGATAAGAAATAGATGGTTTCTAGAAAGATTTCAGCAAAGAATTTGGTATGGTGCCAATTAATAGATTTAAACGTGACACAAGTATTTGGATTTTGACAGCGCATTAACACGCAACACCTCAATAATCGAGTTATATCAATCCAGTCGAATCAGAGGCCAGAAATGAAGGGGGTCGAAGGTGTAGTTTGAAGGCAGTCGATATGTCGGGAAGCGTCTGGTGTAAGTTGACTGACAGTTGCAAAGGATTCATAGCACGGCTTACACACTCGTGATCTGGTGCGGATGCGTGATTCAACGTCTTCAGCTAGGTGTTTCTTGTAAAACCAATGAGGCCAGTATCAATTTTGAAAACTTACAGAACTATCTACTTTGGGGATTTGTTTACGGATGTGGATTATTCTGAAAAGTTTAGGGATTGCTGAACCCCTTCTGAAGTGGGTGAAATATGCCCTGATATGTAATAGGCAGAAAGTGTAGTTCAGTCACCAAAGTTACACTGATGATGTAAACATATGGAGGGGAATAACAGGAGATCTAAGTTCATGTGCATTTCAAGCGGCTTGTCTAAAACTTGGTTGATAAATAAGAATACGTTCAAGAGTGTCGACGTGCACATTCGGAATACAATGATCTTGAGTTAACAATGGGCAATGATCCCGAGACCACGGCTAATTACCACGCGGTCACAGCTAGGGAGTTCACGATCTTATGAGGTCTGAAGCGGATATTTGTTAAGTTGGGTACTGATATGTCATTGCGGTATACAAAACCTTAGTGTGACCCAAACTCGAAGAAGCCTTCAAGCTCCTGTCTTAAGTGACTCGAATTTCATGAAAACCATGAAAAGGGCAGCCAACCATACAGATTCAATACTCCGGGGTATACAATACACAGAGCAGTTTGAGATGCCGAACTTCTCTACTCTGTCTCCCCGCAGATTAGGAGCTGACTTAATCTTGATGTGTGGAATACCAGGAAACGATTTAGGATTTGATATATCGTCTATCTTCATTCTTCAAGATCTCGAACACCCAGAGGACATGGCAAGTGAGTTCATACAAGTTTGCACACCGAGTCATAAATTCGTTGAACCCGTCATTTGAATTATTCGAGAGGAAACAAAACACTCTCAGAAACTTAATAGAAAAGGATTAATGCAGACCATAGTTTTTGGCTTCAATACACAAATCTAAATCGTTTATATACGGCGAGCCACGAAATCTGTTCGAGGACTCAAATCTAAACCTTATGAAGAGCGCCTCCATTCACTTAAATTTTACCCATTAGAGTATAGACGTTTTAGAGGTGACCTTCTGATGGCTTGTAGTATCCTTAACACTTCTGGACATCCTCTCAAACACTTACTTAAGCTTAGTCCCAACACTAACCTAAGAGGTAACACCCAAAAACTGGAGACACAACCTAGCAGAACGGACTGTAGACACAACTTCTACTCCTTAAGAGTTGTCAAATGCTGGAATTCACTGCCGGCCAAGCTAGTCCAAGCGACTTCCCAGGAGTCCTTTAAGAGGCAATTTGATCTATTCTTAAGGACTAAGGATAGTATCGCACTATGATTTACTAATTTCTTCTCCTGTTTTATTGTTAACATACCTAGGTTCCTGCCTGAAGGATTTGGTGATCTCCTGCTACTAGACATGGAAGTCTGTTAAGCGAAAGCTTCTTCTATTTCGTCCACAACTATTTGAACCATTTGATTTGTTTAACTATATCGTTTTTTCCAGCAAACTTACGAAAGTGTAAACATCAGTTTACACTTTAATGAATGTTATATTTAGTATTTGTTTAATACATTTTGCTGCTGGTTAGTGATTGTTTTTTCTTTATTATCGCTTTTAAACGAAATAAAGTTCACCATTTGCTTTTTAAAACAAAAACACACCATGTTACAATGAGACCGGAAACGAAACTGTGCTGTTAGTTTTCCTCTCTGTTTTAGGTGATAAATGTGCAGTGACCGATTCCAAAATACAAACCTAATGAAAACTTCGTGTCGTTAGAGATTTTTGTTCATTTTTAAAGATATAAAACCGTTCCTTAGCTACGAGACGATCGACTCGAGTCTTTCGAATGTATTGGATCCATTAAAACAGCTTAGTGCTATCTTCGGAGCCTTTTCTGTCATGAAGAGATTTGATTATGTTGATACCAAGTGTATTAATCAAATATTTTAGCAGAAAGGCATATTCAATACCAGATTTTTTGTCTTGCACCCATGAACTTTTTATCGGGGAACAAAATGAACAAAGCACATCGGTTGTTCAGTATCTTTGATAATTGCCGGCTCTAGTAAACAGAGTTGTGTTCCTTAATGTTAGCTTAGTCGGCTGATAATACATTACATAGTGCCCAGTATGGGATTTTAGACTTTAGTATTTACTCTTTGGTAAACAAGATTGAGCGAAATTTTTTCTTCTTCACCACATTTGCTTTAAAATAAGACCGGTTTGTTAAGAAGAGTCTGGTATACCAGATAGTAGGTATACCTACGCAAAATAAACCCAACTTATAAGTATATATATTATAGGACCGACTATGGTTTAAAGAAACTATCAGGACTGCCTAAGGTCGGTAAAGTTACGTAGTTGTCTTTTTAGAAGAGCAAGACTTTTCTAACTGTTTTGTCATAGCTTTTGTAAGGTTTATTTTCCCGTTGTTATTAAAAAGTTACCTCATTGTGATTCTCATGTCACATTTTCCATAACATGCTTTACGAGTTAAAGATTTCGGTACTGTGTGAAAGTATGCAACTGATTAGAACGGCCTTAATTTCTATTTCTCAGCCTTATAATTTAGGTTCTCCCATTTGTGGGATGAAATTTGCTTATATATAGGATAGTCAAATCACATCGTTGTCCATTCAAGAAACATATAAAACTCCTCAGTAAATAACTTGTGTTATTTTTGACTGTATAGTGTGTTTGGTCAGATACAGTTGAGTAGTTGTGGCCTTGTGTCAGTAGCACAGATTAGTCATGAATAGTGTGTAAGGTAGTGGAAAAGTTTACTGCCTATTAAAGCTTCAGTGTTGTTGTTAAAAGCTAATGGATTAGTTGTTTTCGCATACTATTGAAGGGACTAACAAGTTAGTCAGAGGTAGTAGTAATAGTAGTAGAATCAGTGTAAAATATAAAGTTTCAGTCTAGATTTCTGTCAGCTCGGTGTAGTAAAAAGAACCAAAAAGTATCTCAAGGCAGCAAGAGCACTATGAGCAGTACCTGAATAAGAGTAACTTAAGAAGTTAGAGAATAAAGCAATATGTAAAATGAAGAAAGAATTTCATTACCACACTCCACACCTCAACCAGTTTTAGGTTGTCTTGTTTTAGCCTATAATCATAAACTACTGTGGACAACAGTATGAACATTTGATAACAAACCAACACTAACTGATGCCATCAACCGCCATTTGCTTTTTATCGTCCTTTGTCATCGTAGAGCTTCTTACAATATCCAGTATAACATAGTGAAATAGGTGATGGCGGAATATGTGTAAAGTGTGTCCTGATGAGCATAGTCATCAAAAGATAAACAACCCTGTTGCCTAAATTACATGAGATCCATTTGGTTTTTAGCTAAATCACTGTTCATTCAAGCACTACATTCCTTTAAAAAACAGTGTCTGTTTAATAAAAATCCTGATTTCATAGCAGTACTTTATGCTAGGTATTACTAATTCATATTCACTTCTAAGGCAAACTAAAGCCGTCTTTATTCAGTTTACTAAAATATAACGTTCATCTGTGAATTTGCCGATGGTACCATTTATACGACAGTTTTAAGGCCAACCTACCCCATGAGTTAGGAAAAGTCACTTGTTTCAGTCAATTTCTTCTTTGGTACCCTAATATCAATACTGATTCATTATTTAAGGAGGTCAGAATGCGCGATTATACGTCTGTCATAAGCCCTAGTATTTTCTCATATTATGTATTACTCGAACAACTAATATATATCTTTTCTCGTTGTTAGTGATAGTAATACTGGGTAGGATCTTCTGCCAGATACCTTGTTAATTTCATCTCACTATGTTAATGTGTCATGCAAACTCAGTTTTTAGTACGTCTATATCTAGCTGTATGTTGAATGTGACTGGCTGACCGTCAAAATGAACATCATAAAACCTTTGTTTTAAGTAACTGACTATGAAAAACAGTCTTAAAATTGTATAAATATCCACTTTTCTCCATGTATTATCGTTGTCTAGAAGATGGATAAAATGTTGACTTTTTTCGTTTCCCCAATTGTTTGAGTTACTGTATCAAGTTTAAATTTGAACAGTACAGCTTTGATTAAAGAGTGTTTACGATACGTTTATTCATTGTGTTAACTCTTGCATTCATCATTGTGTTGATATTTCGACTTGTGTTGTTAGAGCAAGGTCACATTACTTCATATTGTACACAATATTACATTAAAAAGATGAGTGATTTTTGAAAAACAAAGTTCTTTCGAAGAATTCTCATATTTGAATTATTCAATCATTTTGTTCGCATATTATTTTTATTAATCTTAGAATTCATATCAGCTGAATTGTACTGTTATTCTTGTACAAGTGCTCAATCGGGTTGTGGTGATCCAATTGATGTAAGATTAATTCACTGGAAAAAATGTTCTGGTCGAGCATTGATTGAAAATTATTGTGTAAAATTAATCGAAAAAGTTCAAGGTATATCTAAGAAGGATGTGTGTTCACTCGTTTGTTCTCCATTGATATATATATATATATATATATATCCATATTGGTCCTTGATATATTTGCGTAAATCATCCTATTCAGTCTAGAAGGTATATCAATTTTTGCTACATGAATTATAGATATAAAATATAGGTCGTCTGTATATATAAAAACCAGATCTCATTACACTATAAAATGCAAAATGATAATTATACACCATCAAGCCAAAAGTGGTTATGAATACAGGTAACTGTAACTCATAGATTGGGAATAAATTAAGAATAGTGGATCGTATACCAGTAGTTAATGGGTCAAACGGAAACTTATGATAAAAAGAACATGAATATATACCATCTACTTACTTAGTAATCATACGATACGAATATATATATATATATATTACTTATACGTGTTACACCTGGTGAAGAAGCATAGGCCACTCATCAGCATTCTCCATCCAACCCTGTGCTAGACAATTCTTTCCAATTCTTTCCGGTCTCTATTCATCCTTTTAATGTCTGCTTACAATTCTCGACGCGGTGTGTTATTCAGTCTTCTTCTTTTCGGTTTCCCTTCAGGATTCCAAGTTAGCAATTACCCTGTGATGAAGTCTGTTGATTTTCTCAGTGTATTTCTTATCCAACTCTAAATTTCCTTTTCAGGTGGAAGTTAGTTTGTTCTCTCCCACAAAAGATTGTTTCTGATGGTATCCAGTCAACAAAATAGACCATCTTGCGAAGACAACAGTTTATAAATACTTGAACCTTTTTGATGGTGTTTGTGGTAGTTCTTCATGTTTTAGCTCCGTACAGTAGAACTGTCTTGACGTTCATGGTGAAGATTCTGAGTATGATATCGGTTGACAGTTATTTTAAGTTCTGTATATATAATTCCTGGAAGTTACTATCCATTTATTCTTCGTTCGGATAATCTTTGTTCACATTTGTGATTTATTATCTTGTTATGTTATAAACTGTGTTATACTAAAGGGCTTTAGTAGATTATTAAAATTTTTTCATAGATTTCATTGAAGAGTTACTCGCTAATGGAATAATAACCGAGTAAATAAGAAAGAGATCAGGTATAGTATAATAGGTAAAAAACACATGACATAACATTTGATAAGTCTGGGATTCTTTATTGACTAAAGTAAGCGAGACACGTGTTTATTTTAATGTATAATACTATCTTGATTAAGAGTTTGTTGCATCAAACTCAAAAACTAACAAATCAGTACTTGAAACCAGTACAATAAATGAGCAATGGTTAGCTTGAGAAATATTAAAAAGTATAGTTTACTTGCTTAGTATTGACCCAATGGTTCCTATCATAAGTCCTAGATCATGATTCAGTATTTTTCCTTACATTTTGTTCTCTTTGTTTTATGTGTTCTTTTCAAACTAATTGTTCCACACTTGGTTTCTCTGTATAATAGTGATAACAGTGTTTGTGAATAATCTTGTTAGTTTTATCTCATTTTATTGATGTAGTACATTTACTCCAGGCTTTAAACTGACAATATACCAACTTATAAACAGTCAGAAATCAGCAATTCACATTTGTATAATTCGTCTATTTTTCAAACTTAACAAGTAAATGGTTTTGATGATTATCAATTAGGGAATTGCTAGGTTTGAAGCTATCACAAGTTCACTTAATCTACGAACGAGAACAACGACTCGATGACCAAAGACCAATAAGCTAGCTATTTGATGTTTCCCAGCCCCGCTAACTAGAGAGAGAAGTCCAAGCTTAGAATGGGAAAGTATATTCCGCAAAACAGCCAGAAACGAGAGATAACAATAAAGGGCAATTCAAAACGTATATATACAGTACAAAACCGTCTTTGGGGAGAGTTACCAAATAGCATACCAAAAGACGCAACGGAGCGATCGCGTGGGTTTAGAGGAAGAATTAGGTTACAATATCTGTCTAGTTCACTAGGACTCAACTTTCAAAGCAGAAAGCGGACCTTCCAAGCATCATCCTGATTAGCAAAGCCAAATTTGAATAAGTCTTCGTAACGTCGAAACCACATATCAAACGTGACATTGGATTTGGGATCGTAATGGAACTCGCAGATACTGTTAGCAATACCATCAACTGATGACAACTGAATTCAATCATTTAAACTATCTAAACGTATAATCAGATGATACAGTAGACAATGAGACAAAATACTTATTTAGAAGCTATAAACCTAAATTCCATTATTGATAATAGATGAATCTAGCAAACGTATTTGGCCAGAAGCAAGGCTCTTCAACTCGATTTATTTAAACCCTAATACTAATCTTTTACATAGTAACATGAAAACAACCCATTTTACTTTTAATACAAGCATGTTATCAAATGGGATAACCAATAATAAAAATGATCTATATTCATTTCATTTCTTTCTATTTTATACAGATCAAACTACTGTAACTCGTGGTTGTTTAAGTGATTTAATAATGAATACACAATATCGTTTAGATATGCCACAACTTCGTCGTCATGGTTACTGTGTTAATTCTCGTGATTATCAACATTATTTATTAAAAGTTTTAAAAGGGAAAACTTTAGTTGAAACTGCTATGGGATTATTTAGTGATGAGAATATGGATTTTAAACGTTTTTGTTATTGTAATGATTTTAATGGTTGTAATCATGTAAATAATTTGAAAGTTTCAACAATTTTAATTTCTTTTATTATAATATTGACACTTTTATGGATTCATTGAAATACTTTTATTTCCATTACCTATTTTTATCGATTTAATTTTAACACTACTTTTAAACTTATAAGTAGTTAAAGTATTTTAACTAAAAATATCCTGCTCCTGATTCCTTTAAAATGTATATAATCATAAGTGAATATTTGAAACTGTTGATTTATAACGTTTGGTAATATTTTGTAAATTATAAAAGAAAAATTTGTTTACAATAGAAAAGATTTTACAGTTAAAAGTTGAATTCTACAATAATTTTCATGTTTTTTCTCAAAAGATGGTGGTGGTTAAGCGCTCGCGCGTGAGACTGATAGGTCCTAGGTTCGAATCCCGCGAGAAGGACTCATGGATACGCACTGCTGAGGAGTCCCAAAATAGGACAAAACGGTCGTCCAGTGCTTCCATGTTTTAGATGGTTCCCTAAATTTAATTAACTCATGATTTCAACTATTGAAATGTCTTTAAATATTTGTGAATTGATTTTGTCTTTACGTTGTCATAGTAACTAAAGAACAATTTTGTATAATTCTGCCTAAGTTATAACTAATAATTTAAAGATTATAATATTTTCGCAGGTTTAACTGTACCTCCAAGTATGCTTATCATTTTCTAGGGATTGGAGTATATTTTTATAGTTTCTTTTTCTCAGACAATCTATTAGATTTACAGATTGTTTTTTCTTCTCAATGTGTTAGTCTAGTTAGATTTAATGCTGATGAGAGTGGACTACTCAAGTGTCTCCTGACTAATAAGGAATCTCTAGTAATATTTGTGGAATATAGATCAGAAGATATTGCATCCTCTTGATAACTGCTGGGTGCAAGTGCTGTTTCAAGTCAAATTCTTACTGACTATGTGTATTCTTTTATTCAAGTAAAATGGTATTGACCGAACAAGCTATGAGTCGATATCAGAAAAAGGAAAAGTGGAAGATTTTAAGATATTTCGGGATGAGTATCAGGTATTTTCTAAACGTCATTAAATGATTTGATCCAAGTAAATTTGGAAATCCCACTGCAAAGTGACAGAGGTGGTCTACTAAGGATCTGAAGGATAAACTTTCACAGAACAATGAATCAAACTTGGATGGTTCAAGCATAAGACTGTAGTGTCATGGTCATTGAGTTGAAAAGTCATGATACTAAAGTATTAATTAAAAGGTTATGAAATTTAATACATGGGAAAAAGGCGAATATCACAGGCACTTCATTTCATGTTAAATCGGACTCTTAGAATGTTCCTGTTTATATGCTAAGAAAATAATAAGAATTGATAAGATAGTAGATTGGGGGTCATGTCATTGGGAGATAGAGTTATAAAGAGAATCTCACTGACCCAAATAGGAGACCTTATATAAAACAATGAAATAATCTCCAACCAGTTTGGTTTCTAGTAGTCAAATCTTGGAAACGAATACTATCAAGGACTGTATAGAGGTATCGTTCGTTTTAGAAGTTTTACATATTAATCCTTGTAATGTACTCGTTAGTTGGTAAGAGCAAATGTGGAATTGTAATATACGTACAAATGTCCTTTTGCTTAAGAATTATATGGGAATAAGGCTTGTGACATTGTCAATAGTAAGCTGAGTTTAACAGCCATCACACTATGGTGGCGATCATATATCTTAGCTTAACCCATAAAGTTGATGGTATTGTATCAGGAAAAAAATTAGGCTTTGCAGTAAAAGAAACCGGTCCTTGATAATGAGGGATTTCAATGAACCTGCATAAAAATGAACAGACTTTTCTATGTAAGATCCGACAACGTATTATACACTGTGCTCCTTATAACTATAATGAAGTACAGCTTGTATTCGAATCCAAAAGTTTTGGTTTAAACCAGAGACCTTCTTTGTTGGGCATGTAATAATAATAACTGTTATTATTATTATTATTATTGAGGATAGTGGTGTTGTGGTGTCTGAGCTGAATACTTTAGTCATGGAGCTTATATTGTTCTTCTAAACAACACCATTACCATTTACTTCAAAGATAAGTGACCTATAAAAATTTCACCACAAGTGACTAATAGGTTGTTCTGTTTATCTGGGATTCTATCAGTAGTTGTTCATAACTGTTTATTCATTGTCTGTATTAAACATAAATCTAAAGACATATCAAAATTGACCAAATTTATCAGCTAATAAGGAGAGAGATCAATAACCGCAGGTTTAGAGTTCAGGTCAGGAGAAAAAATGGCTAAAATAAACATATGGCGGCGACCACACTGTTATGGACAACAAACAACAGAATCATATGTAAACAAAGCAAGCTGTTAGTCAGTTATGGAGAAATTCTTATAGCTCACGTGTCCTTGAAGTAAGTGCTAATTATGTTTTTCATAAGATCAACGAAGGCTTCATAATCAACCAAATAGCTTATAAACCACAGTACCTCCAACACCCTTATCCTGGATTAATAATATGCTCCATCATCTGAATATTAAAGATATTGCTTATCTCAATATTTGATCACCACATTCAATAATGACTATAAAATTTTGTTCTTCAGATGCAGATATAAAATATGATTAGTTATGGGACTAACACAGGCCACACGTCCTGGACTCCACTGCTTGGGACTTAAGACAATATTGAAGCAGTCCGCATAGAATACACATGTGCACACAAGAGACGGATCAATTGTAGTCTCAAACAACAAGATGGGAAGTGTTGTGACTTTAGGGCTAACTTGTTATAACGTGATTTATTCGCCAGTCAAAATACGACTTATACAATCTTGGCACTGTGCCAAATCAATGACGTTCGACCGTTATGAGCAGCCTAGCGTCCTTATTGGTCCTTTTTTCGCCTAGCCCGTCCACCTGAGTCCAGAACACCAATAACAGCTTCCACTATGTGAATCATTTCTTTCAAATATACTTAGTTTATATAACAGCCAAACAGACCACATCACACCATAAAATAGGAAATTATGTTTATACAAGATCAAGCCAAAAATTGGCTGTGAATGTGAGAGACTGTAATCAATAAACTGAAAACAACTTAAGAATAATAAGTCGTATAACAGTAGTTAATGGGTCAAAATAAAGCTTATAATAAGAGGAATATAGATATATACAGTCTAGTTACTGAATAGTTATACCATTAATAGTTGTCGGAAGTTACCAGTAATTTAGTCTTTACTAAGATATAACATAAAGATACAAGCAAATAATACCTAGTGAATTTTAACTTCACCCAAATGCATAAGCCATTGGCTATCACAATTCAGTAGCTAAGTGAATAATACGATGGTATTTGAAGTGAACGATACTGAATTATAAACCCAGAGTGAACATCAACAAGTCTGAGATGCAGGTACATCTAGCTGACGAGTTCCAAATAGGACAAAACGCGCATTCTAGTCTCCATTGCAAGCTAACATCCATCCTTGCTTATACAGTGGTAATAATTCAAATATTGATTTTCGTTTGAATCATATGATATTGAATTTAACCAATGAATTTGAATTCTGTATTAAACGAATAACCCTGGAACATATTGAGCAGTACACATGATAAATTACAATGTATCATATAGAATTAATGGAATATTAAACAACGAACAAAAAACACGTACTGATAAACAAATGTAATGACATTTCTTATTGATCCATTGTTGAAGTTATCAAATGTGACTTTCCATAATTCATGTCTGTTTTTCTGTATTGAGTATTTAAGTGATGACATGATTGACAACATCATATACACATAAATATTATCCAGAAGAAAATGGTACGTGAATCATTGTTGATTATTCAATTCATTATGAACTATTTAAAGATTTCAATAGTTGAGATCATGATTCAATCGAAGCTAGATCACTATGAAAAAACCGGAAACACTGAACGGTCGTTTCATTCTAATGTGAGACTCCTTAACAGTAAGTATTCACGATCCTGCCTCGTGAGATTCGAACTCGGAACCCGTCGGTCTTGAACGCAAGCGCTTAATTTTTAGACCACTGAGCTGGCATCCAATGGTGTTAATGTCTAACTTCAACTAATCCACGAAACTGAGCAACACACCCACATGATCTCAACTATTGAAATTACTATAATATCCACAAAAACCCTTTCTGATATTGATTATTGTTCGTTCATGTTTAATATTATTCATTTGCATTATTGATGTTAAGAAAGATTCATGACCAATCCACTCAGCTTTGAAAACGAAAATCCACCGAACTATCTGCTGAACATGGAAACAATGTCCATATATATATATCACAAAACAGATTAGATTGTTATTCGTATGAGATTATAGAGTGTTACTGAGAATGTATTGGCTGGTGCTATGTCGAACACACATAGGTTATTCTAGCTTCTAGAGATAGCAATTCATTAATTCTTCTCCAGGTGCAATTTGACATTGTCAATCATTCGCTTAATAACCCTGAATGCTTTTATATGATCATATATGTGTTAATTACTCACCCTTTTCATTATGTGTCTGTAACCTATTTCATTTTACTTTAAATATCGAGTCACATTCGATAAGAGAAGTTTAACAATGTGAAATGTCAGATTGTTATCCAGTGAAACCAATTCAAAACTGTCACATAATATCATGGATTGATTTAGATTAGGTTTATACGCCATTGAATGCTGACTCGTTGATCACGACATTAAGCGTTTGTTTGTAAGATCAAGTGTTCTGATTTCGATGCTCGGATGTGGGGTCGTGGATGAGCAATGTAGAGGAGCCTCGTACTAACCCGAAACGGCCTTCCAGTACCTCTAGGATTTCAAAACCTGCTTAACCTAGATCGATTGGTTATCTCAACAAATTTCGACAGCATTAGAAAAACAATGTGGGAGGACTTATTCAAGCCAAATTAATACCCGTATTTTTAAAGAAATGAGAGTAAGTTACTCATAAAGATCCATTCTTCCAACCTTCATTTAACTGTAAAATGATATCCGGTGATATAATAAATATTATGGTATGATGAAAAATGATTCAAACTATGGAAACTTTACTATGTTTCCGAAACCCTATGCGAGTGGAAGTACAGATCTTAACAGTTCTCACCTACTTAGCAACTTGTTTTTACATAGTGTTAGGGAATCATACATCGTCAAAATTAGTGCCAGTTCATTTGAACTTAGTTTCCACCGTTGTGAAAATAAATCTCAAAAGAATCATCGTCATCTAGTAAACGATGATTGTTCATGAGTCGTTGGAAGTCAGAATCTTTGAGATCTAAGATTTGTGACATGGGTGGTGATTAAAAATATCTCGAGTACACAAAAGTTCAAACAAACGTTTACCAACGTAAATAACAGATGACAGAAATTATTCGAAAACCGTCAAACTTGTCAACTATACTCAACCTACTCTATTGAGTTAAGTCTTACTAGAATCGTCAATAGGCAAGTGTCAGAGAAGTCTGATCGATCCGATAGCCAGTAAACAATGAATACTGCATTTGCGTTGCAACCGATATTCACAGTCGAATACAATTGATATTCGTATACAAATCACATTCTCATAATTTATTTGAATGTTTTGTTTATCTCAGTATTTCACCTAGTCATTTGATCTTTTCGTGATCTAGAGCACTTTGACTTTCGTGGAACTTATCACAGAGAATCGGTTACTCTTGCTTACTGCACTCATCGTTTCTTGGATAAGTTTCAAACTTTCACAGTTATTGTTGATCTATTTGAAATACACTGTTGGAGTATGGTGCTTATCTAAACGGAAAACACTTCGTCAGGCTGGTGAATGGGCAGTTGTCACTGGTGCATCGTCAGGTATTGGTGAAGCGTATGCAGAAGAACTGGCCACAGAAGGTCTCAATATCATGCTTATCAGTAATGATGAGAAACAACTGTCGTCCGTTGCTAAACGAATCGCAAATACCTACAATGTTCAAACACGAATCGTGGTTGCAGATTTCACTAAAGTAATATCCATTCTCAATGAATCTGTTAATCATATAATTTTAAATTATTGTCATTGACTTAAGTAATCAGTTCGATTTACCAGTCGGTAGTGTTTGAATAGATTGACAGGAGTTGTGTATCACTAATTGCCTTGTTCATAAATTGATAGATTGTTAGTCGAGTTATTACTGAGTCATTACTTGAGTCATGTGGTCATGTCAAAATGATCATTAATGATAACATGCATTTGAATGTAGAAATGTGATTGAAAACATTCTTTTCACGAAAAGTATTTCTATGATTCACGTGCATGAGATATATCAGCTTCATATCAAAAATATTTCATCAAGGCGAGTAAATGTATGTATTTATGCATCTCTGTGTGTGTGTGTGTGCGGTCTTACATTGCCATACAATCTTTCTAGTACTCTGTTCATATTGGACTTACAAATTATTGTGACGTTCTTTATTTGCAGTGTCAATGTGTTTCTGTTTTCTCCAGTCGATGAGGTGGAACGGTGATTAGTCATCGAATGTCTATTTAGTTTCTAGTAGTAAGACGAAAAGAGAAAGATAATTGTGGTTGATATAGAATGAGAGAGAGATAGAGAGACAGTTGACGTGTCTGCAGTGATGATAAAATAATAATAACAATAATAATGTAATGGTTACGACATAATTTATCAAACACGGAGGTAGACAGTGGAAACTTCGCTGTCAATCTTGTCACCAGAGTTGTTAAAACGATTCTTCAATTTAATACCAAGGCATCCACATACGATGCACCCAAACTGTCAAACATTGATTGGATTTCGGTCGTGAATATTGGAGACGGAAAAACGCAGACATTTATTATCAATATATGGTATACTAGTTGAACAGATATCAGGATATTTGATCTCACACCCTTAGTGTATATCGCGTTGGCCATTGACAAACAAGGTAGGGAACTGGTCTCAGATTCATCTACAATTCACAATCCAAACGCATCAGAATAAATTGACATTTTTGAAATTTGATCAAATATTCAAACACTTAAACACTTAGGGAACATTCGAATGATCAACTTCCACAAATCTTGTGTTCTCTTTTGTTTAGAATGATGTTTATGAAATAATAAGACCTGCTGTTGACCAACTGTCCACAATTGCTTGTTTAGTTAACAATGTTGGTATGGTGTTACCGTTTGAGTTGTTTGCTGGAGAAGTTGATTCACCGAATGAAGAATCAATCAAAAATATCATTCATTGTAACATTTTATCTACACTGATAATGACAAACATCATTCTGCCGAAAATGTTAACACAGAAAGGACCTAATCCTGGTATCATAAACATTTCATCTTATACAGCTTTAAAAGTGACGCCCTACTTGACAATTTATCCTTCAACCAAAGCATTCATTATTCAATTCTCTAGATGTCTGGCTGCAGAACAGTATAGAAAGAATGTGATTATACAAACGATGTATCCATTATTTGTATCTACAAATATGACCGATTTAAGAGAAGCCACATATTTCACACCATCTGCTAAAGTCTATGCTAAAAGTGCATTGGATATGTTTGGTGTTGAACAACAAACCACTGGTTATTTTCCACATGAGTTAAAAGCATTTGTATACAATTTATTGCCAACATCATTGTGGGTAAAAATAATCGAACGTACGTTCACTCCAATCAGTAGACAATCGAAGAAGTTTGACTAACATGAATGTTGTTTTTCAACTTTCCTGAGAAACAGTAAAACCTAAAAATGAACATTTCGAAGCTTTTAATTATATCACAGTTTTATGAATTTATTTAAAATTAATGAAACGTAACTTTATCTGTGAAATCAGTCGTATAGACGTAGAATTTACATTATGGTAAACTAGTTTTCTTATGTTCAATGGTCAGTTACCTTTCAATCCATAGTTATCTTGGTCACAAATTCTTCTCAAAATTTCGTATCGAGTCATCTTATAATGAATGTTTCGACAATTACCATTTCAACGTCATTAGTCACGGTTTTACTAATTAAATCCCGTTTCCATATGACTAACCCTCAAAGATACAATAAAACTAGTGAAAATATCAGCATTTTTCTCGTATATCATCGTTCATTGATCGAGAAATAATTTTTCGTTTATTTCATTTATTATTCTCGACAAGTTGTTATTTAGGCAGATACTTGTTGAGAATGGAAATAGTAGATGGTCTGACTGAATATTAATAACACTGAGTTACCAGGTTAAGTCTTCGATTCACTACTGCTTTAATAATTTGATTCGAAAGTAACTGTCTCGTCGCACAGTTACATCCACGCTGTGAGTTTTTTGGCCACTAAAACACGAAATCCAATTCTAGAAATGTCATATCATCTTCTCAAGATAAGGCTCGGCCAACCTTAACACGACCGGAACACCGTACTTACCCACGTAAATGCAAAATATTTTCAGAAAGAGGGATGCCCAAATTTCACGATTACTCATGGATATCCGCATTACATAACAACTGGTTTCAGCTTCAGTTTGGAAAGGAGAGGAAGCTCGATGACCTGTGTCAGTCCTGGCAATGATGGTCTCTCAGTTGATCTAACTTTCTTTTGAAAGAGTCGATGGATGGAGCCTCAACCACGTGCTGAGGTACTGAATTCCACTCGTTGATGATTTGACGGGAAAGTTGATAGTCAGCTGACAAGTAATTTGTCCTGGGCTTGTGAACTTTTTTGGTGTCCTCGCAAATTCTCTGTTTTGGAAGTCAAGAAAAATGAGGGCATATCAGGTGCAAATTTATCACTAAGCAATTTGAAAATTGTAATCAAGTCGCTTCTAGTACTTCGATATGACAACAGGAATAGGTTTAGCTTGACCAGTTTAGCATCATACGGGAGCTTCTCTATTCCGGGAATCAGCTCAGTTGCTGTTCTCTGAACCCTTTTCAAAAGCTTACTGTCTTTTTTAAGCAGGGGCTAGCCGCTTGTATGTAGTACTCAAGTTTAGGACGTACAAACACTGTATACAAAGTCAGAAACGTTTTAGCGTTGACATAACTAAAAGCCCATAAAGTTCTAAAAACTTTGTTGGCTATTGCACGGGAGTGTACAGTAGTCTTTAAGTCTTCGCTAACGATGACTCCTAAGTCATTGTGTGTCTGGACAACAGGTATCTCAGTGTTATTCACTGTGTATGTATCTGTACCTTGATGACCGATGTGCACCACTATATACTTTGGAGTATTTATCGACAACTGCCAGGTTTGAGACCATTTAGATAATTTCTTCAGGCCACTTTGGAGTTCTAAGCTATCCCGGACAACCCAAAAAGAGGAAATAAAGACGAAGAAAGGGGAAATAAAGGGGTAAATGCTTTGGTAGCGAAAGGGGAAATAAAGGAAAAACGCGCCAGAATGTCACCCTTTTCGCCTGTCCGGGGGAAATAATGCGGATTTTCCCCTCTTCCGCCGTTTTGTCGACAAATTACCGACTTATCGCCTAAATATCCGCCGAATTGTCGAATTTTCGCCTAAATTTCCGCGGAATTGCCTACTTATACGCTTAATTGTCTACTTTTCGCCTAAATACACACATAACCCCCTATTTTCCATCCACTGACAGGACCCCAAAGGTCTCCTATGTTCCCCTTTATTTTCAACAACAGACCAAAATATATCTGCAATGCAGTGGAAAAGCGGTACATTTTTGAAAAATTTAATTTAAAAGGAAAAGCGTATTATTGTACAACACTAGAGCAGAAGCTTAAGCATCGATTATTTTGCATATCCAATGCAATTGCTATTTCATTGTTATTTGAAATTATCTGAAAGAGAAGGAACAGGTGATGTTTTATTTATAAGGAATGTGTATATAACCAAAAGTTATCTGACATTCAAACACACATTCTCAACACTTCAACAGTTTCCCATGTAAGTAAAAGAGTAAGCTGTTTGAAAAAATAATGTTTATTGAAATCTAGGTAGAACATCAAAACAATTGCATGGACTATTCCCTTATGCCACGTTCGTTCAGCTATTGGGAATTGAGGTAGTCGTCCTGTGAATTCTGAATTTAAAAAAAGAAGAAGAAGTCACAACCATATCTCAATGACATGCTTTGGCACAGCTAAATACTTGAAGCTGAACTTACGGTTATGTCCGTTATGATTCACCGTGTACCTAACAGAAGAACGAGCAGGTGCGTCACATATAACAGCCGCCAACCGAATAGCTATGCACTTATTAAACTTGACACTGAAAAGACCCACGTCAGTAATTTCTTTTATTTCAGAAATTCGTTGAATTCTGCGGGTTTACTATTCCCTCCGTAGATCCCTATCATGAACACGTCACTAAGCCTAAGGGCAATGATCCGTCCTAGTATAGGCCATAACTGTTGATTGGAGCTTCTAGACACAGAAAGTCCATCTATATTGGCATACAAATTTAAAGAGTCAAAATCAATAGTACATAACCAAAGCTCAACGTATCTAAGCAGTTTGGTTTTCAATCCTAGATGGTAGTAAACCCCCAAGGGTGATATCACCCTAGGGTGATATACTGTAAGAACAGACGACACCTTCCGTCGTCAGACTCAGCCAACTCACCATCAAGGACATTCTATAATGGAAACGCTTTCTATTAATATGATTATAACTTTTCCTCTAGATCCTATGCACATGGTGTACCTTGGTGTAACCAAAAAACTAGTTAATTTATGGATAGATTTAGCACGCCGAAGACTGCGGAACTTTAGCTCATGTGTAATTAGGGACATAAATAATTTAATATCTGGTTGTGTGGCAAGTACTCCTTCTGACTTTCCCCGTAAATGCCGCACACTAGACTTTGTATCGGCATGGAAAGCTTCTGAATGTAGATTGTTCCTTCTGTATATAGGCCCGGTGATTCTTGAAAAAACATTGCCACAACCTTTTTATCTTAATTTTCGGCGTTTAGCGTTATCCATGTATCTGCTTGCACATCCACAATTACATAAAAGTGTTGTAGAAACCGCCAAAATAGATTTAGTAAACTTCCTGAATGAATACAAATGGTGTTATGGGTGTGAAAACTTAGTCTACAATGTGCATTCGTTACAGCACCTCCCTGACGACGTTCGTGCACATGGACCTTTAGATAGTTTTTCAGCCTTTCCATTCGAGTCTTATATGAGAAAAATTAAGGATTCCGTGCGTAGTGGGTTTGCAGTAGCTAAGCAAGCAGCACAGCGTTATGCTGAGAGAATGTCCTTCAGCGATAGGCTTCAAATTAGTGGTTTAACAAATACTACCGCAATAGGCCATAAAGATGTCTCCACTAAACAAGTAATTATGTTTAACAACAGTAAAATAACTTCATGCCAGCCTGATAATGTAGTAGTAGTTAACGGCCAGCCAGGTTTAGTCACTGATATAAAGGAGGATGGACTACTAAAATTTAGGACTTTCACTGACCCACGCAATTACTTTGAAGATCCTTTCCCATCTAGTGATATTGGAATCTTTATGTGCTCCGTAGTTAGCCACGAATACTCCTGGGTATCGGTTCAGGACATTGATTGTAAATGTATAGCCATAAATTGTATCAATTATATAGTTGTAATCCCATTGTTGCATACTTTATTGTAAATGCATTTTGTTTCATTAGTGTTTAAGTAATGATGATAAATCATTTACTTACGTCTTTTGTTCTTTTCAGCCAACTAACAAGAAATACGTTATTGTTGACGTCCTACAGGAAAAACAACTTATGATAGCATCAAAGAACTGGATAGTTGGCAATGACCTTTGCGTTCTTCCGAACGAGCTGGTCGATATACACCTGCAGAAGTGCGACCAACCAAATGAAAATTGGTCGCTTATGAAATGCAAAGTGATTCACGAATTAGGTAGGCTACATACACAGAAAGTATAATTCACTATAGATTCTCTGCAGTCAGCAAAAGACCTGTTAGCTGCCCTACAGGTACTGGAATGTCGAAGGAAAAACACCTCTACGGATGAAAACACTTTGCCACTGAACACTGAGAAGCCAAAGAGGTCTGTACAATAATCTTACTTACATTTCCTAGAGGTTTAATGAAGCGTAAAGAAGAATTTCTTTACAATTCAGTTGACATGGATGTGGCTGAAATGCAGGCTGGGAATAGCCTCCCTACGGCTCTATAGTTACAGTCAACAATACTGACGAACATAACCGTAAGTTCAGCTTCAAGTGCAAAAGCATGTCATTGAGATATGGTTGTGACTATTTTTTTGTTTTTTTTTTAAATTCAGAATTCACAGGACGACTACCCCAATTGTGATTAGTCCGTGCAATTGCTTTGATGTTGTACCTCCATTTCAATAAACATTATTCTTTCAAACAGCTTACTGTTTTACCTACATGGGAAACTGTTGAATTGTTGAGAATGTGTGTTTGAGTTTAAGTGAACTATTGATTTAATGCACATTTCTTATGAATACATTATAACGTGTTCGTTCTTTTTCAGATAATTTCAAATAACAATGTATTACCAATTGCATTGGATATGCATAACAATCGATGCTTCAGCTTGTGCTCTTCTGTTGTACAATAATACGCTTTTATTTTTCAATAAAATTTTTGAAATATTAACCGCTTTTCCACTGCATTGCAGATATATTTTGGTCTGTTGTTGACAATGAAGGCGAACATAGGTGACCTTTGGGGTTCTGTTGATGGATAGAAAATAGTAGGTAACGTGTGTATTTAGGCGAAAAGTAGACATTTAGGCGCATAAGTAGGCAATTCGGCGGATATTTAGGCGAAAATGCGACAATTCAGCGGATATTTAGGCGAAAATGCGACAATTCAGCGGATATTTAGGCGAAAATGCGACAATTCAGCGGATATTTAGGCGAAAGTGCGACAATTCGGCGGATATTTAGGCGAAAATGCGACAATTCAGCGGATATTTAGGCGAAAATGCGACAATTCAGCGGATATTTAGGCGAAAATGCGACAATTCAGCGGATATTTAGGCGAAAATGCGACAATTTAGCGGATATTTAGGCGATAAGTCCGTAATTTGTCGACAAAAAGGCGAAAAAGGGGAAAATCCGCATTATTTCCCCCGGACAGGCGAAAAAGGCGACATTCTGATGCGTTTTCCCCTATATTTCCCCTTTTGCTACCATAGCATTTACCCCTTTATTTCCCCTTTTTCCCCCTTTATTTCCCCTTTTGTGTTGCTTGGGCTTACTTCGTTTTGCTCTCCATATATTGTGGGGAATTTCAAAGCTCAAAAATCAGACTGCAACACAAGTAAGTGTGTTGAGTTGCGGCTGTAGCTTCAAACTAATTAAGTTTGGAATGATGAATAAATGTCAAATTTAGTTAAGATACGTGCTACTGACCAGTTCAAACGGAAACAAAGTAATTGGGGAAATGACGGTCCCAGATGTCATTGTAAATATAGGTGTACACACTGATTCGGTCGCAAGAATGGTTGGATTTTATTATAATGGTTAAGATCTCTTCAGGAACGATAGTCGCTCACACATTCTGCAAATTCGATTTTCCGCATGACCTTCGCACTCTGATTGGTTGTCATGGTTTTTAGTTCGCTAAATTGTTACGTGCTCGAAAGTCACATTCTGCTACCATAGTAACGACTTTTGTACCAATTTCGTTTGTGTTACTTGTTCTACCACAAATATCGAGTTACTCACAATTCTGTCCTCTTTGTGTTTTGGTAGTCGAAGTTTGATGTGTTGGTTATAATTGGATGTTGTCAGTTCCGAAGAGAACCGATCATACTATGGAAGCTCAATGGTTTTCGTTCTTAAATTCGTAACATCCCAAGCTCCAAATTTCAGGGAAATGTTGGTGTTAATCCTCATAATATGTGTTGCGCAGTTTTCCGGATTAACATTTCATCACCATTGCATTATTAGACCTTTGAATATTAAATTACAATGAATAAATATGAATTTTAATAAAATATTGAGCTTTAGTCAAGAATACTACCGATTTTAAGCTTTTGTTTTAGCACGTCAAAAAGACACGAGACAATGAGTTGTCGGCTTTAAACCACTTTTTCTAAATTCTCACACCATGAGGTGGGTTATTTGTACTGTCCACAATTTCGATTAATGCTTTTGTTCAGTCTGACTAAAGTGAATTATCTCTTTCAGAATAATAATTTACAGCTTGACAAGATCGCTAAAAGGCGGGCTAAAGCATCCAGAGACTTAAGGTTGATGAGCAGTCACAAAGCAATTTTTCACAAAAGGCTGCGGAAGTTAAAAGCTGGGTTCGTCAATAAGTACCAGTAAACGACCAGTGACGATGGGAACGACAATTTATTTGTTGTCAGAGAAGTAGGGACCACAGCAGCTACAGAGAAGTGTAACATTATTGTCTCACAAACAGCCACTGCTTCATGTAGTGTTCATCTAATACAGACAACGGTATAGTCTAGCTTTATTTATTAACAAGTTATAGATGGTGCAATTTCACAAATGTCTTCACCCTTTTACGTCCAGTAATATCGGTATATTCAAAGGTTTTACCTTAAGTCAGTGTAGGTGGGTTGCACTGACAGATACACTTTGCAAGTGTAT